ACTGGACTGTCTGGTATTACTATTAATACGGATCAATTAGAGGTGTTATATCAGTGCTCTAAAATTTAAAATTAAAATTCAAACTTCAAAACATACAAATGTACATAGTGAAAGTATAAATGCAGATTGAAAATAGGCTTATTTTTCATAATTATGTACTGATATATATATATATACTGTATATACAATTTTGTAAATAATGTTTTATTAGTTATCATACTCATAATATATATTTTAGATACTTTAGTCAAAACATCCGCTTTAGCTACATTCTTCTTTGAAATTTACAAATTGACCTTTTAAAATGATCAGAATTGGTTGCTTTCAACAAAGCCTGAAAATGCAGGAAATGCCATTTCCAGGGTCTACATTTCAAAAAATTTCCCCAGACCCCCCCCCCATCGTCTACATATTTGTGCAGTGGCACTTTTTGGGAGGCCACTACGGCCCTGGTATTGTGTGTGAAGATATTGCTGGTTTACCTGATTTACTTTGTATGACATGTAAATTCAAGTTTCCAACGGTTTGTTTAATCAAACATTTAGAATCCCTCATAGGTTACCAACTGGTATGGTTATTTTCTGTTTTGACCATTTATGCCTCTTTAACATTACTGCCCTACTGGTGGCGATTCAAGATGTAATTGCTTGCTCGTCTTCTACCAAGTGATGGTGTAAGTTGCCTGTCATGGCCAGTTCATTTTCCTGGCCTTGTGGTAGCTAGATGCTTATTATTTGAATGTGTTGAGTTATCAAGGCTTTCAGTATTAAACATTTTACTGTTAATTTTAAATAAGTCTGAGTAAATGTTTGCTTCGTGTACATTTTCACGGTAATATAGTAGATGTTTTGTACATTTTTTTAATATACGTGTGGCAAATTAGCATCGCTACATCATCCCGCTGATTCTCTGAACTCTCAACAAAACATTGGTACCTGCCGGCGGTACCCAGAAAGCAACGGTTGTATTCCACCTCATCTACGCTCCCCAAAAGGTTTATGTAAAGTGAATTTTTGTGGTGGAACCCAATTCGGTATTATTTTGTGCCGTAAAGTTAGAACTATAATAATAGTTGAATGTGAATCTCCACTTTCTATTTTACTGTATCAGAATCCTGTTGGATTTTTATTTCAACTTATAAATATAGAACTGAAAGTGATAATTTTTGCTATTGCTGTACTTTTACTATACCCAAACCCATAGAAATATATAGAGACTCTATATATACTGTATAGATATATATCAAGCGTACATAATAGATATTATTTCGATTATCTCTCTTATGTCTCGATTATCTACTATATAGTATATATATAGTACTATATAATATCTATTATGTACG